TTGATACATGATTATAGGCCTGGGGGGGGAGGCAGTTCTCCATTAATAGCCGGTATGGCCAAAATTGGCCAGTGGAGACCAGCTGCTGGTTAGAAAATAGGCTAGAACTCTATAACAAAACTTTAGACCACCACCAGACTAAGCGCCCAGACCAAGTTGATACAATTACTACTTAAAGATCCAGGTCATTGGGAAGCCAAATGATGCTCTAGTAGTGGCTTGGAACTACTAGTCAGCCAAAGTTACAGGTAGTGAGTGGTCAAAAATTGTTAATTCTAGGTGTAATCTTATAATCGAATTATCTGGTACTAGTACTAGTTCAACTGGGACGTCAGGAAACAATTAAATTAGATTGAAATCTGATTCAAAGCCAWTTTTTGTAACTTTCCCTAAAACTCCTGTGTATTGTAGTAGGTTATCATGTATTAGCATAGGCGGAGAGATTCCAGCCATGCCATTTGTACATAAGCAATCCTTAACCCCCAGATGGCAATATTTGTCTTCAAATTCTCTTTTGATTCATGTGCTTACCATACTTAAGCACCCATTGGGGACAAAGAAGTTATAGCTGCTTGAGTAAGTTGAACCCCTCTTTAATGTTCTACATGTTTTTCCACTGTACGTCAATTTTGGGCCATCTAATTACCATGTAATGACTCATTGGATTAAAAATTGAATTGTACTACTGGCACAGTAATAGCACCATGTACTTGAAAAACTATTTGGTYGCACAACTGGTGGGATTCAAAAATTCAAGTACCGGTATGAGTACTACACATTGAGCACATGCATTTTGTATGTATTTATTTAAATACACACAAAAATAAGGGCATTGATTCACCAACTCAATACAATAAGAAAATGGGAAAGCCATTTGCACATTTTTTAGTTCAGATATGCAGCCCTGTATAAATTCCAATAATYGAACCTTCCAATAATYGTTAACCCCCTATTGTATAACYGTGGTGATTTGAAATAAGCCAATTTAATTGTACTTATGATGGGTATATTGTTTAATATCCCAATACTCTCCAACTCCCCCACACAGCCATCTCCCTCTCTTTATTAGGACCACAATGGTGTGCTTATCACTGTTTAGTGTCTGTTGGGGACCAAGATACATCTGTTAGAGTGAGTTGACCCTTAGTTAACATTCTACATGTTTTTCTACTGTGCTTCAATTTTGGGCCATCTAATTACTGCGTTAAGACTACTTTGACTCAATGCATCCAGTCCTAGACTCAAGGTATTCCAGTCCTACAACAGACACTTTGAACCTCAACAGACAAACTGCTCACTAAATTTGGCCACTAATTGTGTGAACTCAGAACTTGGCAATACCCCTCCTTAATACTACATTTGTTACATTTCTGGTTTATCAGAGGGAACTATGTTGGAAGCATTTCTCCTCACTTTTACACGGTGCATCAATCCCATTTCTTTCTCCTTAAATTGATCAAGAACAATACATTATCCTGCAAGGGAGAATACCCCTGCTACAAAAAATGSAGGATACTGAAAAAAGGAACCAACAGCAGCAGCAAAACAAGCATACTGATTAACTTAAAACACCAGACTTTCTAGTTGAAGAGCTACACAAAGATGTATATGGCCGATACACTGCAAGCTCCCMAGACTCAGTTCCCCTACGACATACAGCAATCTTGTTTGGTTGTCATCCAAAGCAAAGGGTGAAATCAAACAGAAGGAGAACAATAACAAAAAAGGCAAGGCATCAAGCCAGGATACTTGTGCACAAAGGATCCAAAGCTTGTGCTTACAAGCACTGGATGCCACAGCGTATGCTCCCAATTGTAACGGGCAACATGGAGATGAAGTGGCATACAGTGACAAAGGCAAGGGAAGCAGCAGATTTAATAAAGCAGCAACAAACTGACCCAGGGGTTGGATGGAAGATCCAAATTGTAAAGGATACCTCTGCACCTCCCCCTGAAGCTCCGGAGCCCTCTCCGCTAGAAATAAGAATGGACGATCCCTCACTACAGGTCCAATTTTTATTGAATCAAGACTGGTACTAGTGGGTGGAGGATTGGGAATGGAACAGCAAACCCACTCCATACAACAAGGAGCTGAATGAGACCTGTGCTGGTTGTTTAAAGAAGACCTGCTAGAAAAAGAAAGATCTTGCAAAGGCAATTGAGTTAGCTTGATTCAGAAAACCACTGCTTCCTCTAGAGATGAGTGTTGGTGATAAACATGAATGGTTCTTTGAGATTAATAGGACAGTAATGAAGAGGGAAAACAATTTTCTTTTGATGAGTGGGGACACCCTTACTACATGTACCAAAGCTTTTCCTTTGATTCAGCCAACTACAAGGAGATGAATTGTGATGAGATGAATCAAGAGATGGATCGTGAGAACCAGCAACCAAATCACCAATAACAGTATCAGCAACCAGCAAAGTAATTGGCAACAACAACACAATCAAAAAAGCAATCAACARAGAAATTGACAAAGCAATCAACAAAGCAATTGACAAAGAAATTGACAAAGCAATCAATAAATCAAACAGAAGAGCAATCTATCCATATTTAATAATTACTATTTTGTTTATTACACTGATTCTAATGTTCCAACCACTGTGCTTAACTAAGTACTACTATCCACAGTTGGTAGGGGAAGTTCACTGTTAACAGTGGTTACATCAGTGCTGCTGGGAGAAACAACAACATCAACATCAAGATTGTCATCATCATTGACAATATTGTCTTCCTCATCCTCATCAGTTGTCAGAACAAGAAGTGCTTTCACTGGGATAATGGTAGCTTCAGTACAGGGTTGTGAGGACTCCTCTGTGCCTGACAATTGACAACAAGTTGCCTTGCTGCTATCAGCATCAGTCATGAAGGATCAGTATTGGTGCAACATTGGATGTTATTTTAGGTCTATATGTTCATTGAGAATTTATTCCCAGCATGTCAACCAACATCACGACAAAAATTCCATAGAAAAAATGGTGCATTTSGGCAAGATTTTGTGATGTCAGTAGGCGAGCTTGACAAATTTTACTCAGGAAAAAGATAGCCCAAAATTGACGGCAGGATTGTTGATTTTGTAGCCAACTCTATACAATAACTCACCCACATGACTACATGTGCTCATCAATGCTAAGCGTCTGTTTGGGACCAAGATAGAGCTGTTAGAGTATGTTTTGCAAACTGATTGTTAGGGTGATTGACTGTACCATGCCATCCAAGGTAAATAAAATTCCATCCATTCTGCTCTCTGATAGGTTCTCTGCCAAGACCAATTAGTAAGCATTTCGGAATTTCTATAGGCTTACACTCAGAGGGAAGAAAGTATCCCTTGCTTGTATTTCCCTGTTCCTGCTTCAACCTTGGGTCTGTAGTAATATGGATGCCATCCACCTGGGTTATCAACATCATTCCGGTCTTCAGGTTCTCCTTTGTCAACCTTTGGATCCTTCCTTACATAGCCTGCTGGAACCTTTGGAAAGTTAAGACTGCTGTCAACAATAGCTCCATTCTTCCAATAGAAGAACTCAGTGTCATGAGGCTCAATTGTGTTGTYCCAATTCCAAGCTGTTTGGCTCTTGAGTGATTACATTGAAGAACTCTGCTTGTGCTCCATCCTCAAAACTCATTCCAGAAGTGTCCAAATCATAATTTCCTGCAGTCTCCTATTGAACCTCCTCCTCATCACTTGAGCTTTCATCCTCAAACAAAGTTTCCACATCTGATTCTAACTCAAAGGCTGCTTCATAGGCTGCTAATTGTTACTCCACAAAGGCCCTTGGTGGATGTCGCATTTTCCATCTATTGGTCATGTCGGTGAGTGGCATCAAAAGTTTTGCTGAGTGTCCCTTATCATACTATAGAGTGGGCACCCAAATGTATGATCCAGTTGTAGATTACAGGCCCTTGTTTTGCATATATTGACTACTTTGACAAAAAACTACACATGTGCTCAGCACTATTACCAGTGCATTGTGTTGATTTTTTAATTTTTGGTGAACCCTGCAACCAAATAGTTTYGCTTGCACGTGCTGTTGCTGTAGCCCTAGTAAAACACGAGTTTTTAATCCCATTAGTCATTACAGGGTAAAAAGATGGCCCATTATTTACCCACTGTGTTTTTAAACCATAAACTATTTTWGTCTTGAACTGACAAGTTTGAGCWATCTTGGTCTCAAATGGACACTTAAGTATGATAGGCACACAAATTGAAAGCAAATTAAATAGGATTCTAGTCATATCATGGGGGAGTCAGGGGGTCCTAATATTATTTATTGATATACATGTGTGTATATTTGGACAAGATTTCATGATGTCATTTGGTGCACTCAACATATTTAACCAGGGAAAAAGACAGCCCAAAATGTATGGCTGGTTCATACATTGGCTGGCCAAGCCTATAATATTTTGTACTCTACTATTACTACTAGGCAATATTACTACTACTACTAAAACAAAAATACAACTTGCACTGTCTCACATAGGTACTACTATGTCCGTCGTACTAGCAGTACTACTACTAGGAGGAGGAGGAGGAATCAAAGTAGGAGCAGTGCTAGTAGAGGATGGCAAGGATGAGGAATAATACATTGCATCTACTATTACTGCTACTCCTAGTAGTAGCAGTAATATGGTGAACAACATCATGATTCAACAATCAATTTTACAGGGGCTTCCTTCTCCATAGTAGAAGTGATAGTTCTGGCCTTCCCAGCAGTGGCTCATCTCTTAGTTCATGAAGTTGAAGGTGCCATAAAAATGAGTTGTGTATGGAAAAGAATAATATTTGTGTAAAACTGTGGTTTTCTGAAAATGACAGGAGCAACTACTAATTCTATTAGCAACTATTTGATCATAGAAAATATGACCCAATTTCCAGTATTTCCAAAATCAAGTTTTAATCATGATAATGKTTTTTAGTTTTTTCCAGTTCCAAACGTTGTAAAAGCAAAAGCATTATGCGGTTATATCAATATTAATTTTTAGTCCAACTGTTTGGATCCCTATTATTAATGAGTTTTACTGTTCCATTGTGCCAACTACTGTACAGGGGTTGACACATGAAAGCTTGAATAGATACATAGCAATTGGCAAATCAAGCTCTTGTGAAGCCTGAGATTGATGACAACATTTGGGAACTCTAGCATGGTCACCACTTTTCAATATTCCTCCCTCACCATCTTCAATAAAAATCTTCACGTATGTGTGCGGTTCGTCGCCCATGCATCTAGCCAAGTATTTATCAACAGTTGATAAATATTGAACGCCGTTTTCTTCCATACATTCCTCTTGACCAAACAATCCAGAGTTGTAAAGAGTAAACATACTCGTGAGTGTGGCACCAAATGTGTTCACAACTTCAAAAGCCACAAAAGTTGAATTTTGGAATGTGATTCTGATTGGAATACCTTCATGAAGCATAGTGCCTCCATCATTTGATATTAAAGTAGCTTCTGAAGGTGCGCATTCAGGTGGAGTTGGGCCTCGTAAATATGATGGATATTCAGTTGCTGTGGTGGATGGGCGATCACTTGGGCTAGTAGTCGGGCTGACGGTGGGACTGGCAGTCGGGCTGACAGTTGGTTTAACACTTGGTTTAACAGTGGGGCTGGCAGTGGGGCTAGCAGTGGGGCTGGCAGTGGGGCTGGCAGTAGGGCTGGCAGTAGGGCTGGCAGTGGGGCTGGCAGTGGGGCTGGCAGTGGGGCTGGCAGTGGGGCTGGCAGTGGGGCTGGCAGTGGGGCTGGCAGTGGGGCTAGTGGTAGGAGCGTCGGTGGGGCTGTCGGTGGGGCTGACGGTAGGACTGGCGGTGGGACTGACAGTGGAACCGGCAGTCGGCCTGACAGTAGGGCTAAGTGTTGGATTAGCAACAGGGCTAGATGTTGGGCTGAGAGTGGGGCTAGGAGTCGGACTGATRGTCAGGCTGACAGTCGGGTTGACGGTTGGGCTAGCAACAGGACTAGTAAAAGGGCTGAATGAGGAGGACGGACTTAAATCTTGACACGCGTTGGTAGGTTGCTCGCTGTCACAAGATTTCACAACAGATTCATTATCATCATTTCGAAAAATAATGATATCAGCATAGTCAAGAACTCCAGGATTCGCATCATCGATTGAAATATCGCACACGATTACGGTAACTTTTTCACCTGAAATGGTTTCAAATGTACCAATATCATCTTTCGAAAGTATCCCGCCACTTTTTTGCCTTGAATACTCTTTACCTTCGAATGTGACTTTTTCGGTAACAACAACAGTATTGTCCTCGTGTACGTGTTTAGTAAAATCTTCCGCTCGGTTGAATTTAATGTACAAGCTTCCAATCTTTGCGATGACACGGTCCCCCTCGCATCCATCAGCATTGTATTGTTTCTGAAAATAATCATGGAGCCCAACAAGTTTTCCTCGCCACGAAGATTCAGTATCAATATTCTCATGTCCTACCTTCAGTTGATTGTACCAACCAAGATCGTAGGATTTTACAGCATTGAAACATTTTTGAGGATAATCGTATTGGTTTGACTCAAGCGAATAACCCATTTGACATGTTCTAAAACAATAGATAAGAGAGAAGATGGAATCAGATTGAAGCGGGCATGAAGGTCATCGTCCTTCGAACGAAATTTCGGTATAAATTAGTCCGGAATCATGCTTTTGACTCACGTGTCTCCATATTCKCGATAAAAGGGAGTAGGGTGGTCTTCAATACCCGAGTGCGAAAGCCCAAGGTTGTGTCCAACTTCGTGCATGATCGTTTGAAACGACGGAACGCCCTTAAATACGGACTTGACACCCCCGACATAGGCATAACCAAGGACATTCTCTCCGAGATTGGTAGTCTCTGGCATGACGACCATCACAAGTCCAACTAAATTAGTTTTGGAGAAGTGGTGATAACGAATTAGAAAATGAATTGTAAAGATATTTCTTTAAGAACAGAGCAAAATAAATAATGCCAAGCCAATACAGTGTTCGTCTCCACTTACAATCTCTGATTGTATAGCCTTTGGATTGAAGCTCGTTATTGACAACTCTTTCTAAGTCTTTGCGTTCGCCATGGCTGTAGTCAGCAACATTCACAGGAATGGAAAGTTCCAGAACACCATTTACTACGTCAGAGGTTCGGGTAGATGGATACAAATTCAATTGATCGCCACTGCAAGATGCGTATTGGGATTTCAAGGATTCATTATCTCCATTTGTTGCGAAAACCCTTTCTGATATATCATGTGCATTGAATCGGGGTTGCTCTTCACTATCATCAGTGACACGAACAACCAAAACTTCAAGTTCCCCAATTCTCCGCACTCTGAGTCTTCTTCTGTTCAGAAATTGACTCTCCTCGATCTTCGAGGACTTACGGACAAATATAGTGTCGAGGCCATGGTACTGATCAAGTGCTGGTTGTACTATAACATCGTCGAACTTCAAAACAGTGACTCCAGATTGAACTACAAAATATTCAAAAACACGCTCCCAGTCCCCGTCTAGAGCGTATAGAGTATCAAACTCGTCTATGCAGTTCCATTCGTCCTCAACACCTTCCAGCGCTAAAAAGCCCTCAAGGGAAGCGATGGTGTTGTCAGTTGACTGCATTTCACATTCAACACTAACGTACTCTGTATCGTCTTGCGAATCAACGCATACCATCGATATGATAGCGATGAGTATTTGGAGGAAGGATGAGCATGACCTCATTTTGTTCTTAATGGAGGAACTTGGGAATTGCTTGGTCGAACAGTACTCAGAATTTATGAAAACGAAGTTGTWACCGATGTGGAACAAAACGTTTTCATAAAGTATCTATCCTCATCGAACCACGGCGACAAGAGTCTACGACTAAGATATCGTTTGTTTTAATTTTTCTGCAGGGCTTCTTCGCATTTTTAAAAGGTTTCGTACGAAATACGGTTCAAAATATCAATGGCACTCCATTTGACGAATAAAGTACTAACGTACGTACAGTAGGATTTTTTACAACTAAAATCTACGTTTCCGGTACACTAATAGAGCCAAAACTTRAAGTTTCTGGATTGGTTCCATGATACAAAATTAAAAATATGCCTATTTGATAAGGCCATTCTCATTTGTTTTCGAATAAAGGACCAAAGAAAATAATCGAAATCATGATATTTGATTCACGACACAAASATTKTGTAAAGGGCAATCGGCTTAATTCTACAGAGGAAAATAAWTCCAATGCATTGACGAACAAATACAATAATCAATAATCAACACATGTACGTAAGTACGTACTCTCTTTCTGTACGTAGTATCGGGGATCATAATTATGACCCCTTCGTAGTATCACATGGTCATCACTACTGGAACTTTGTCCCTGAAAGTGCCTACAACTAGTAGTTCTACCCGGCACGCGCTCATATTGATTGTAAAGTAGAACATACGTAATATATATTGTCGTCCCCGATTTGTTTGGGATCAACCAAGAAGTCTATCTACCGTTTGTGTGTGTATCATCTTGTTCGGTACGTAGATACATAAACGTAACGTACTCGTACTCGTACCCTACGATTACGAGTACCGATATTTWAGGGTTATGAACTCAGAATCTTTTGGTTCGGGCCAGAAAAACCGAAAGCCATTGCTGAGTACGGTACGTACGAATAGCTTCGTATCGTAACGTTCGAACCCATAAGCAGCAGTAAGTTCAAGTCTTTTTTTGTGGAGTCTCAAGACGTATGGATCTCAGAGATTACATGAAAAGTGATAAAACCAGTAACGTCAAGATAAAATTGAAAAAATCATAACTTTTGTATTCTCTTCATTGATGTTCTTACGGTGCCCTGCTCCGGGAAGTTAGTACTAGTAGTGACAATCTGGTAGCAGCAGATGTCTTCCGTAATACACATTTACTATTTTTCTACACATCTGTTGGTGGTGTTGGTGTTGGTGTTGGTGTTGGTGTTGATGTTGCGTCCGTTAACTGTTTTTCAACCCCTATTTTTTGTATATTTTCTTCAAGATTTGTACCTATTCACCTATTCTCTACCCCTGAATGAACATATTTTGTGAGTGAAAATAACATGTGGGTTTAGAATCCTGACTGGACTTACTACCTCACTTTTCAATTACTTARTAAWAAAAAWMWTCKWYGAKKWRT